AGGAAGGAGGTTAAGGAGCATTAAGTGTAGAACCACTAGACTGAGGAGCAGCTTCTACCCTGAGGCTGTTAGACTCATGAATCTCTAACCAGAATAATCACTGTGAAAAACCACATCATGTTGCTGCTGATCTGTTTCATGTTGCTGCTGATCTGTTTCAATGTTGATGTGTTCATGCGTGCACATCTGCTCACAGACTCATGTTCATGTTTGTGCTGATGTTCAATGTTTTTATGTTATGAGTGCTTAGTGTATATTTAGTTGATGTTGTTCTTAGTTCATATCTTAGATGTTATTACTGTTTTTCTTAGACATTTTATTGTTGGATGTAACTGGGACCCCATGTACATAATTTCGCTCCACCACATGTACCACATGAGGTGCGAATGACAATAAAGAAACTCTAACTCTGACTCTGATCAGTCGAAATATGTCTAATAAAGTGGAAAAAACATAAATAACCAATTTGCCATATGAGTTGCATCTATTATGCTTCACCGCTGACAACCAGGAAATGTGGGCCGATGTTGTGCCAAAAATTGGCTGCCAAAACAGCAGCCGCAGGAGCGTGCACGGGAAGACTTTAACTAGATTACCACTTAAAAACAATTATTTGTTTGCTCAAAATTATAGCAAAGATGTGTCTCAGTTTAACTTTTCCTTAATAAATGCACTATATAGGTCAAATCAGCTGCATTTCAAAAGCCGATTTGCAGCTGTGGGAGCGCGCAGAGGGAGGACTCACTATGCATTTTTTCGAAATTTAACAAGATAACCACCTAAAAACAATTATTTGTTCGCTCGACATTATAGTAAAGGTGTGTCTCAGTTTAACTTTTGCTTAATAAATTCACTTTAATGGTCAAATCAGCTGGCAGCACGGTGGCGCAACTGGTAGAGCTGCTGCCTCTCAGCGAGCAGGTCCTTGGTTCAAACCCCGGTCCAGGGGCCTTTCTGGGTGGAGTTTGCATGTTCTCTCCGTGCATGTGTGTGTTTTCTCCGGGTACTCCGGTTTCCTCCCACAGACCAAAAACATGCATGTTAGGCTGATTGGTAACTCAAAATTGTCCCTAGGTGTGAGTGAGAGACTGAATGTTTGTTTGTGTCGTTTGTCTCTATGTGGCCCTGTGATGGACTTGCAACCTGTCCAGGGTGTACCCCGCCCCTCGCACAGTGATTGCTGGACATGGGCACCAGCGACCCCCGTGACCCAAAAATGGAATAAGCAGGTAAAGAAAATGGATGGATGGATGGATGGTCAAATCAGCTGCATTTCACCTGGGCGGCGCAGTGAAATGCAGCTGATTAGACATTTGCTCCAGGAGTTCTGGAGCGAGACGAAAGTGGCTTGGTATGGCAAGCCAAGTATCTCATTAATAGCCACTTTTACCTATTAATGAGATACTTGGCTTGCCCGAATGCTCGAGGGCCCTCTATCAGCTGCAAATGGTAATGTTTAATATTTTTCATCTCAGAATGAATGAAATCGTCAGATCTCAGCCAAAAATTGGGTTATAAATATGGGGAGGAAAAACATATATTAATTGCTTCAGTGTATAAGTTGCAGGAGTTGAAAATTTATGCAAAAAGGTACGACTTATATGGCAAAAAATACGGTACCTGTTTTCCATGTTTTTTAGTACCTGTTCCCCTGAGACCAAATCCTGGAATAACCATTTTCTCCTTTGTGCCTCCAAAGACGAGCCCTACATCGGACCATTCAAGCCAAACACCAAGGTCAAGATATATAATTTTCTGATCACACCATTTGTCATATATTACATCATAATGGGCTTTTTGGAAGAAGACACAGAAAGGCTCCATTACCCGCAGAAACACACAGACAGCCAGACATGAATTCACCAAAATGCATATCATTAAGTTTCTTGGACTGAATTTTAAAAACTAGAGCATTTTGGCCAAGAACATTGGTTGTATTTTGTTGGGTTTTATGTTATTATTGAGAAAGAGTACCAACAAATTTATCTCTGTCTGTAAAATATATTTCTATTTCCCTGGACCCAACTTCAAAATATATTACATTGCTTTGCTGTAATAGCATTCTGCTATATGCTTACACTTTATCATGGAATTTATATTGAAGTCAATATTTACAATAAGTTAGACGAACCAAATATTATCTTTTTTATCCTTTTTATTTATTAGAAAATAGTGTCCAATAACTTTTAATATTATATCATAATAAATTTAACTAAAGACTTAGCACTAATTTCTATGAATCTACACAAGCACAAAGAAAGCACAGGGAAAAAAATGGTAAAAATAAGCTATAAATAAATCTGGATGGATGATATTAAACCACTGCAGGTTTAACTAATACTTTAAATTATTTGAAGACTCTAAAGTACATTTTGAGGTCTAAAGTATTCTGCACTGCACTTCACTAACTTTTCAGTAAAACAGGACAACACTGAGCCTTTAAAATTGCTTTTTCCCTAAATCATGATGTAATTCCACTAAAAAACTGCACAAGATTCACCTTTATATGCTTTATTATTTTAAGGCACAGTCCAGTTTGTGCGTGTTCATGGGTGAAGCAAGGTCACATCATGTACTAGTTTTTGAAAGCACTTTCGATTTTCCACAACACTTTAAAATTTTCTGCAAAGTGGAGGCAATCTTAAACCATAAACAAACACATTTTTGAGGGAGACTACATTTTAAAGCAAGTCTTTAACATGTTGAGTTAATTAGTCGTGTGTGCTGAAGAACCCAAATGTAGACATGCAAGAAGCAAAACCACAGTGAAAAGATACTTTATTGATTTCATGCAATAAATAAATAAATGTAGCAACGAAAACAGCAAAATACATGAAGGTGATTGAACAATCTGATCAAAACTGAGAAAAACCAAGGAGTATATAAACTGGGACAGGGTGGTTGTAATTGAGAACAGGTGTGCTGATTATTAATGGGAGGCAAGTGGTTGGTGAGGAGCTGGAACCAGGGACCACTGAGGACATGTAGTGGCAATGGTAAAGCAAGAACAAAACTAAGATCATAACTGCAATGAGTAATAAGATATACACAAACTAATACAAAACATTAAGCCAATGATGGAGATCTAACCTAAACCTAACACAAACACATCATAGAATAGTCACAATTCTGTTTTCCCACAATGCAACAAAAGCAAGTACTGTTATAGTTGGCATATTTTTTCTGTAAAATAATGTTGTTGTTTTTTTTTGTTTGTTTTTTTTCCAAAAAGGGAAAATAACCATTACAGTTTTCAGTCCCTTTAATCTTTTAAAAATGAAAAATTGACAACACTCGTATGGAATGGGATGAAATGATGACATAAATGCAAACTTGCATCATGACAGTCATTTAAAGAGGATCAGCTTCATGGTTCCTCCTGTTTGTGTCTGTGAGCTGATCTCTAGATGCTTCATTTGAAATCTGCAGAAAGGGCGTGCTGATCTCCCCAGACTGCAGGTCACTGGTCACCCGCTTCAGGCAGCTCAGGACCATGTCCTTGGCCAGCCCGGCCTCCAGGTTCCCCTCACGACTGAGCTGCAGAGTGATCTGATCGAGGCTGGTGAGCACAAGGTCTGAGCACAGCAGAGGACAAATGATGCCAGCATCCGAATCTGAACCCGGGGCCCTGTCTCGCACCATGTTCTCCATCATATACTGCTGGTACAGATCCATGAGTTTTTGCTCCAGGTAGTGATTCAGAAGGGAGTTGGAGAAAGGACCCTCATGGCCCTGGAACCAAAAGCTTCGATCACGGCCGCTGCCCTGTCGCCAGTGAGTTGAACCTCTCCTCTGCGGATGCAGCAGACCATTAGACGTTTGCTCTGGCAGTGAAGCCTCCACAGCTGAGGGGACATCACATGATTGGAGGAAAGGACCGACAGCCTGAGCTTCATTACCGACCCGCAGCTCACCATCACTGGCTGTAAGAGGCAGCACCTGCTCACCTCCGATGTGGAGGTCGCTGTAGTTCTTACAGATGCTCTCACAGAAGGATGGAACCAAAAAGGGGGGTTCACCTCCCGAGTGTGCTTGGACTGGGATTTCTATCTTTGACGATATCTGTCTGCTCGTATGGACTCCCTGGAGAGTAAAGGACTGCAAGGGGGAAATGTTCAACTCCACTGAAGCACCTGTGGTTGCACCTTCTGTCTGCAATGAGAGGCTGTGATGAACGAGTGAAGCCGGACTGGTAGAGTTTAGCGTGGCAGAGGCTTCAGCTGCCCTGTGGGCACTGTGGAAAGCCTTTTGAGTGGACTGGTGGTCCACCTCCTCCAACTCATCATAAGTCATGCTCAGCAGTCTTCCTTCACAAAGCATGGCTGTAAGAATAAACACAAACTTAGGAAATTCAATTTAAATGGATTCTCAGGATCTTTTGACATAATATTGTGTGGAAAGGATTTTAACAACTATCTTACCTGTTGTGCAACATTTACAACTCACCATTTTGAATTATTTTAATATGGAGACAGTTTAGTTACGACCAGATGGACAGCCTACAAGCTAACCGTGGCAGGGCTAAGACCATAATGAGTTTCTCTGCATCTTAGAACAAATCCAGTCCTAAAAATGAATAACTTTGTGTCAAAGCTATTTTATACATTTTTACACCACCTTTGATTTTGCATCACAATAATTATTCTTGTAAAAATATGATATTCCTGCCTGAAGCATCCTGGGCTACATAGGAAGTGCCACAACTAACTGTCATTATTTTTGCTAGCAAATAAACATTTTGATGTAAATAACTGTAATACAAAACTGAAAATAATGCAAAGATTTATTCAACTGTGTGCATAATCTGCAGTGAAATTGTTAGTCTGGACTTGTTTTGAGGTGGCAGCAATCCATTTTAATCCCGGTTCTTCTTGAACCATCTGTCCTGTCAACATTAAACCTGGTTTCTTCAAACTGGTGTCATTAAAAAAGATATCTACAACAGGTAAGATATTAACTGTTCATAGCCTTTCCACAAAACTCCAAATCAAATGATGTGAACTAATGGATCATCTAATAAGGAGAAAATAGGATAGAAACAAAGTTCAGATGGACAAATACGTCATCATTTCTTTCTAAAATTCAAAAAAGTTATTTCTCCAAACTGTGGACATTCAAAAATATATCTACAATAGGTAAAATATAAACTAATTGTAACTTTTCACCAACTTCAAAGGATATGAACATTTTTGTTAAGGCTCAAAAAGAACTTTTGAAACTTATTTTTATTATTATCATTTTACTGTGCAATTGTTTCAGAGCAGAAACAGTAATAAAAAATAAAAAAATAAAAAACCTCTACAGTGACCATAAACCTGATCAACGTATGAAAAACCTCATGTTTAAACTTTAACAAAATAACTTCTGAACAAGAAGTGATCCAACACTAATTTCTCAGACTTCAGTTTAGCACCAAAAAAAGCAAACTGGGTTAATCTGAAACAAACATCTTTACTTACCTTATACCAGACAAATTCTTCAAATAGCCTATAATTATAGTATTTTAACATTTATAATCTCAAAAGAACATTTTCATTCTTGCAGCTGCTGTATATTTTCTACAGATTGTATTTATGCATCTGAGTGTGTGTAGTTTTATACAACTTCATAGAGGAAGTGAGAAAACTTGATTTTCTCACTTTCATCTCATTTTGATGTTACTGCAGCTTTCAGTCTCATATACAAACTCAACAGCTTATATTTCATACATCATCATTAAACTTTATCTTGTTTCGCTCCACGATATATGATTTAATCTAAATTACAATTTAACGAGGAAGAACTTTGTTGTCTGACTTTGATTTATCTTCTGCAAAATAAACCAAAAACACATGAAACATATAAATTGCTTGATGTTCCTCTTCTGTGATAAAGAAACAGGTGTTAAAGTAGAAAAAAAGTTATGTTTAACAAAGAAATTACCACGAGATGGAAAGTGTTACTCAGTGTTTTCCCTTTTCGTTTTCTAAAAGGTGACAGGTGTAAGTTATGTGAGCTTAAACAAGATGTAGAGCTTAGACTTGCTCACGTCATCCCTTTAAATAAAGCAGAAGTGAGACT